AAAAAAAAAAAAAAAAAAATACAACTTTACCATGAATCAAACAGATACAAGCCATGAATGGATCAATCACATCGGGACAGAACCGAGTCAAGCTTGGCCAACACTCGTGAAACTGTTTAAAAGTCTGTGTGAAAAATATGTGAGGGCTCACTGTGTTATGTAAATGAACCACCGCAGAAAGTACATTTAGACCCCGCTCTCCTGCATTATTATGACTGCACCTCATTGAGGCGACTTCAAGGCAGGTTTTACCGCCRAAGATAAACATGCTCCTAAGTTGGGGCCCGAGACGTGATTGATTCAGACACACAGCGGTGCAGTGATGGAACATTTTATCACGGTTTGAGGCAGAAATCAACAAACGTTTTCACACATAACAACAGGAACAGATGTTGCCTTTAGAGAAGGAAAGATTACACCGTTCTGTATTTTCACACTAAAAGACGTTAAACAGAAAGAAAGAAAACACAAGAAGCTAAACATCTATTTTACCGCTCTTTTTTTCCCTCCTTCCTGTTGAAGAATAAATAAACAGTAGCAGAGAAATTATTCCTGCATCACAGCCTTTTTTTTCCCACTTCTTCACCTGTAGTTTGTAAAAATCAATGAGATGAACTGGTTGTCAGAAACTTGCCTAAAACATCACATGAAGGTCAGTGTTATTTGAAGGAATGCATATCACTCACCATCTTTTATTATTATTATTATTATTTTTTTTTTTTTTTTTTTTGAGGAAAAAACACAACTGAGGCTGTTTTGGACAAATCTTGCAAAAATCTTCATGCACAATCTCATAAAAACACAAGCTGTCGCGCTCAAAGTGCTTACATGTCAGCTTAGCGTTTCTAAAACTATGGGTTCTAGATGTTTTTGTGTTGGTTGATGTTGAGCTTCGCTCGTCCAGATTTAAATAAATTGACTCCAAAATGTGATCACTTCYATTGATTACTTTGAGTTTCAATAAAATCTGGCCAATAGTTCGATATTTTGTTTAACACAGCCAGAGTTGTGTTTCAATAGTTACTGTATGACACAATTTTACACAAAGATCTTGGATGGTTTGGTAGCACTCGGAATGTGTTGTGGATCAGTCTCACCAAATTTTAGCACAATGTCTATTAGCTCAACGTTTGTAAAATTAGCCAAGTTTTAACAAACTTTGTGTTTTTAAGGTMAGCTGGCTGCAGCAACCATCTTGATTTGGGTTGGCTCCAAAATGGGTAAAAACTTTAAGGTYYATCTAAGCTCTTTKGCARCRYGCAATAAAACAGACAACTTTAACTCCAAAATGTCCCAACATTACCATAAACATACTTCATGGCTTATTTGGTGAGTAATCAATCAGAGTTTATAATTATACCTTTTTGTGACACATTTTGTCCTATTAAGAGAGCAGATTTGATTTTAAAGTTGTTTTCAGATTATTATTTATTTTTTGTAGCTTGAAGTCAAACTATACTATATACCAGAATCAAGACTGAAAGTGTTGTTTACAAAATGTTGCATTTTGTTAGCTGATGTCATGTTTTTTTCTTCTTTATGACCCTAAAAAGTGAGAAAATAACACGCTTTTTATCCAAAACATTTTACCTAGAATTAAAAAGACATGTCTGCTGTGATGACAGCACAAAGAAAAAATTTAAAGTTGAGGGCAATTACTTTTAGGAACATACATCAAAAAACCTGAAATATTCCCATCTGTAGCGCATTTGTGATTTATTTTCAATCTGTGATTTAAACGCTGTTTAATGTGAAAACAGAGGTGCTAAGATAAAGTCACATGCTGCCTCCTAGTGGTTATTCAAAG